CTTCTTCGATGAGTCCATGATCCTCCAGGAATTCTGCGTCGGATTCTGGTTCTATTTCATTCCAAGTATGTGAATCCATGTCATCATCAGCACATTCTTCATTAGAATCGTCAGATTCAAGGTACATTACATCAAAATCGTCATCCAGAGAACTCATTTCACCGAGTGAGCTAGCGCTATCTTCTGTATCCATTTCTTCAAAAGACATGTAAATTATTTCAAAATTCCGGTCGTATTTATATACAAAACGATAGAGAGCAAAGAATAAGGGAGGAAAAGCTGGAAACTTCCTTCTTTTTCTCGTGCATACTTTGTATAATATGGAAAAGAACGAAAAAGTAATCCGAGCGATTATTCAGTTTGGCAGAAAAAAATGATTCACTATGTAGTGATATAAAGAAGAGAACGATAAGTAACCGGTAGAAGATAACAAAAAGGTCATTAAGTGTATTTATTAAAAGTTAACTGTCCATGAAACTGAACATCTCGAAAAAATTTTCTAAGAAAACTGAATCGGATTGAATGGGTTAATTTATTTTAAATTTAACTTACTGAAATTCAAATAAATAAGTTAAATTTAAAATTAATTTAACTTTTCAAAATTTAAATTTATTCTTCATTTAAAATTCAAGAAGTTTAAAATTAAAGTAAATTACGAAGAAATAGCCATCCCTAACTCCAGTGACCGTTGAGTTCCATCATGTAAAAACCTCTTTTTTGTAAAAAAAAAATATAATTATAAGTGCCATTGTTATTCGGGCCGGGTCGGACGGGCTGGGCTGGGCTCTAATAGAGTAGAAGTTGGGCCGAGCGGGCGTGAACGATTCTTGGTCCGGTATGGGCCGGGTCGGATCATCAAAAAGTGGCCCGATTTCGAGGCCTGCTGAGTAGACATATGAAAACTTCGAACCTGTTTCTCCACCTTGTATCGTTGAAAAGTCACTCAGTCTTTTCTCCAGATTAAGTTAAAAAAATTAATCGTGGTAAAACAGTGTTTTGATATCTTACAAAAACGCTACTTTTTGTTCTAATGCCATTATATAGCCCCAAAATTTTTTCCATTATTGGAACTAACTTTCAATGCGATTCATATTTTTACTTAATGTTGAGAGCGCTGAGATGTTTTTTCGTTTCGACAATACCAGGTCGATAAAACGATTTATAATCTTTAATAGTCTGTTTAATGTTAAATGCTACTTCCCAAAATGATTTTGGTTTCCATTCAAGCTGTACTTCTTATTGAAATTTACGAAATATCAGTCAAAAACACTCAAATCATCTCTGGAAAAATGTTTTCCTCAGATATTTTTACTGATCAGTCATTTTTTCTCCGATGTTTACTTAGCGCCTCGAAGCGTTTACAAACTCTTATCAAACTACATGAAAGTTAGCTTAATCCGCTACCATGTGATATTTTAATAGATCTGATTATCATCAACGGTCGGATATACTACACTTATTGATTATTTCAAACGATCTTAGTACAGTGTGAACAGTTACAACAGAGCGAATTCTATCAGCGATCAATTTCGAGATCCTTGTTCAATAATGTTGCACAAAAAAATTTTCCCATAGAAAGATTTCATCGACTGTTGCGCTCCTCTTTTATACTGAGAACCTCCTCATATTGATAGTAGATTTCATTGCTTATATCTATCGTCAATATTTATTTTCAAATCTTTATCTAATTCGTTATATTGAAATATCATCCTTCAAAACCACTCAACTAAACTTATTTTCTGGAATTAAAATCAATTCATGCGACAAATTTTTCATATAGAAGAAAGAAGTAGACAGGTCAGGCCGCCTGCTTGACCTGACGAAGAGGTCGGTCTGACCTGCCTGCCACAAGTAAGCAGAGCTAGTGGTCTGGTTGAGACCCTGCAACATAAGTTTATAAAAACGACCTACCGAGTGCGGTACAAAGATTGCAACCTTTTGTATTTCACCGATATCTCGGCTTGAGATATTAATAAAATCTTGAACTTTTTTTAAACAATATGCCGTGAAAAGCTCTACAAAAAACCGTACAATGAAATTCTTGCCAACCTGTTCTTATGATTATTTTCATACTTTAGATGAACACATAAAATGATAGTGCTATTTCCCATCTTATTTGGCGTAATGAAAACATTAGCAAGGTTTCTTATGTTATATATATGTTGGCTCGAGAAAATGATAAACTCCTGAATTTTTTAATAAGATGCGCCTTCGAAAGCTCTGCAAAAGCTGTATTATCAATTTCTTGTAGGAAAACAAAAACGTTGTTCAAGCATTTTATCACGCTCACTACGATGGGATATAGCACTGACATACGGGTGATTTATCTTGAATATGTGAAAATCCTTAGCCCGAGCCAATAGGTATTTCTGTATACGATCTTTTTTAGAGTATTTCACGGCGCGTCTTTTCAAAAAGTTCAAGGTTTTATCATTTTCTGAAGCCGATATATAGGAGAAATACAAAATGTTGCAATCTTTATGCCGCACCGGGTATAGACATGCGAATGGAATCGATTTCGGTCGCCATCATCAATAGAATTTTAGAATCAGATTCAATGTAACAATGATCTTGTACTCAGTTTTTGGCGCTGAATTGGAAAATATAATGAAATAATAAGATAAACAAGTTCATCAATCATTTTATTTTCTCAAAAATAATTCAGTGAAATCTTCGATACCTTTCATAGAGTCATTTTCAACACTAAAGTTTAATGAAAGAATTTTTCTTATATATCCCCCTGGCCAGAAATAGTGAGAAACGGTATTTTGAATAAATTATCACTCTAAATCAACATTTTGAAGAAAGTAACTATAGATTCTGATAGCCCGTCAAATTCTCTATAAATCTCTATAAGCATCTTTTGAATTGCGTTTGTTCTGGGGAAAAAATTCAAGCTCAGCAAAGGCACCCTCATCGTTAGATTCCCCAGAAATTCATTTTTTGTTTCTTCATCTACTTGTATTGCAAATTTATTTTGAATATAGGAACATATTATTACAAAAGTAAGTATGTATTCTGAAAGCGCGTGAAATTCTCTATCATCCTATATGTTTATGTCTTGTCTTGCATGTATTTGTTGCAACAAATAAATGCAAAACAAGACATAAATACATAGGATGATAAAGAATTTCACGTGCTTTCAGAATGCAAACTTACTTTTGTAATAATATGCTCCTATATTCAAAATAAATTTGAAATACAAGTAGATGAAGAAACAAAAAATGCATTTCTGGGGAATCTAACGATGAGGATGCCTTTGTTGAGCTTGAATTTTTTTCCCAGAACAAACGCAATTCAAAAGATGTTTATAGAGATTTGTAGAGAATTTGACGGGCTATCAGAATCTATACTTACTTTCTGGAAAATGTTGATTTATAGTGATAATTTATTCAAAATACCGAGTCTAACTATTTTTGGCCAGGGGGATATATACGAAAAAGCAATCATTTTTTTCTATTATTTTCTAGCCTTTTCTTAAACATTGCACTACGAAGGGGAGAAATGATGTCATCGTAGTGCAATGTTTAAGAAAAGATTAGAAAAGAATAGAAAAAAATTATTGTTTTTTTCGTATATATATAAGAAAAATTCTTTCATTAAACTTTAGTGTTGAAAATGACCCTATGAAAGGTATCGAAAGCTTCACTGTATTATTTTTGAGAAAATAAAATGATTGATGAACTTGTTTATCTTACTATTTCATTATTCAACTATATTTCATCAAACAATGTTAATATTTGGAAAATATAAGTCACAGTAGTTTCACAAAAACCAGAACAGAAAATTTCGTAACAATTGAAAACAATGTGGTTTTTTGGTAAACAACGACTTGTTCTAAGTTTTTCGTTTGTTGGACTTGAAAAGGATATCTACAGAAGCTAAAATCCACGTCTTCTTGATCAGCAAATGAAGCTTTATCAAATCACATAAAAAAAAGCATAAAGAAAAATTTTGCTTGAGTTTCAAGATGCCGACGCGCCACACGTAGGCAATCATCCTTGACAAAAGTTATCAAGTTTTCTGTTTTGTCATTTGCTGTTGACATAAAGAACAATATATTGAGATTCAGGTTGCAGCACAATTTGATGTATTCAGGATTGATCGATGATTGGTACTAGATAGGCTCGCTCGAAAAATTCTCCATTTTAAAGAGATGGAATGGAATGATCTGTAGTTGGTCTACGCTGTAAGAGAAAACGTCGAATACTAAACCCTAGTACTTAAGGGAAATTTTACTAAATTCTTAAAGGAATTATGTTGATGTGCGACACTCTTAAAGGATTTTCGAACTGAAGAGTTTATGACCCTAAGGATATTTGAAAATGAATAGGGTTCAGAACTAATAAAAAAAGATTTATTATATTAAGATTTAAGGAGCAGGGTTTGTTATTCTACAACATAGGGTTTATTGTTCTACCATTTCGTGAAAAGTGTTTATCATTCACTGCAAAAATATGGGTATAATAATAAACCTTTGCGCATGGTGCAGATTTTCATCAACCCTTGCAGAGTTTATGAAAGCAAGGATAAATGGAAAGAAAATGGTTTTGACTGCTAAAAACGGGATTTATTATAAGAGGATTTCGGAAGAAACTTTATTACCTCAATATCAAAGATAGATTAACCTATGCTTTCAAGAAAAGGCTTCTTATTTTCCAGTAGGAATACATTGTTCTTTAGCGTTAAATTTCGCGAAATAAATTATTGAACAGTAATTGTGTGTAAAACTCAATAGCTTACTTTATTTGTATCGTTTAGAATCAGTCGAACGCTTTATACAAAAGTATGTATTTATAAAACGAAATAAATTATTCATTTTTAACACTTAGATTTCGTCGAACAACTTAAACAATAGAAAGTATGTACAAAATTAGACAAACTTCTTTTAATTTCTTTTTCTTTCGGCTTTCGTGGAATAACTTATTCACCAGTAAGCATTAATAAAGTTAAATAAATTTCTTTATTTTTATTATTTAGATTTAGTCAAACAATTTCTACAACAGTAACTGTTTTTAAAATTAAACAAAAAACAGGGGACGGTTTGTACGTAAAACGGCCCTAAATAAAAATCACCTCAGAACAATTTCTAAAATTGAATTTCATATTTCCATCTGTAAGAATAAAGCATTCTGAGCTGTTTCAGAACTTCCTTTTGGACCACTAGTCGACATTTGTAACTAATACACTACTATTCTCAATTTCACTATCCGGCTCACAGGTTCACGACGACTATCCCCTATATCAAGAAAATCATACTTTCAGGAAAGATAGAGCTTTTCGAGAGCCACAAAATGACCACAAAATATAAGGGAAAATTTCGAAGTACCACACTCTCTGAATTCTATGCGGGAGCCAATGGATGTGATAGTATGGTTCATACGATCTTGACTATCGCTCTTGATGCCATCACCATTTTTTCTGTGCAGATAGTGCTTTTTGAGAGCTAAAAAGTGATGATAAAAGATGAAGTACAAAATGCTATGCTCGAAAAATCTCAAGGACCACACTATCGGAATTCTATCGGGAAATGGACGGTCGGTATAGTATGTTCAATATATTGTTTTGCAGGTATGATTTATACTTTCTTCTCTAGTGCTGATCGAAAATATGACGCCCGTATGAATGGTTCGTTGTATGCTGTTGAGTGCTTTTATGGACATACGTGTAAATGTATCATGGGTGGTAGTTGGTAACCTACTATGGACATCCTTGTTAGAACTTGGTTAGGTACCAGTTTGTATTTCATTATGGGCAACCTTAGTAATTATGGGTTAGGTAGTAGTTGGTATTACATTATGGACATACGTATCATCGGTTCGTTGGATACGAGTAGAGGTATTCTTTTCGGAGATTCGTGTGAGTAGTGTCTGTGAGGGCGATGATAGGAGGAAAGTGCACATACATCGTGTTGTTGATTAGGCACGAGTCCCTTCCTTGCTGGTTGGTATTTTGGATTCAGAGCCAAACAAATTATAAGACTTTCGTCTCATCATTATCCGTGACCAGTATTTGATACAGTGATCATTGAAAGTAGATTAATTACGACTATGTTCACTGGACCACCCGCTCAGTTTAAGTGAAATCTATTAGAGGATGTCAGTAGTAGTAAGTAAGTAATACTGACTTGTAGAATATTTTTATTGAATGTTACAACTGATCGGGCGCCGGTTTTCTAGAGAAAGATGGAAGAAAGGTTTTCTTTAGTAAGTTCAAGTCATTCATAAGCACACAGGGATATAAGATGTTGAAAATGGTAAAGGCCTTGGTTAAGAATAGAAATTCTCAATGTTGAAGCTTTGTTCATAGGTAAAATAGTTGTTCGTGCTTTTATTTCTGAAGAGACAGTTTACATGGCTATATATATATATATATCAGTTTAATGTGTAGAGGCAGTCATTTTCTTTGTCATTCGATGACGATTCAAAATCAGAAATTTTGTCAGCGTACTGAATGATATTGGTATTTGTTGAGGATGGTTGCCGATTTGTCGTAGTTTGATGGCGTTCATAAGTTAGATACCAAATTGCTGCAGCAACATGTGAGCAGAAACCAACTGTTCGTGGACCTGCCGTACACGTACAATACCATGCGATGATTTGTGTGGAATCAAATTGAACGTAGGTATGATAAGTGCAGGATTTATGTTCCGACCTGAATCGAAGACGAATGATATCTTCAGCACTATGTTGGGTACAGCCTTCAATTGGAAAATTCACATAATCATCCGTCAGTTCAATGGAGTCCCTGTGTTATTCGGCATAGCTTTGTGCTCTTTTCAACTGGTAGACACCTGAAAAGCAGAAAAAAGGTAATAGTTTTTTAGTAGAAAAAACGTATACCTATAATTAGAGATATAAGGTCATACAGAGACAAGACAGAGAATGCTTCAGGTAAATCGTCGATATCGATCGATTGTCAAACGTTATGTCGCTGTAAATTATCCTGGATCAGCCGTTCTTGCAAGATATTACTTTGCGTTAGCAGTGAATTCATACGTCGAAGTATTTCATGTCTTCTGGTGAAGCTGATACCAGGAGCAAGTGAAAGCAGTTGGTAAGTGGCGCCACGATGGCCATATAATCAGGAACGAACGGTAACGATGAATTTTGAATGGTTTGACTGAACCATTTGAATCTTTTAAGTCGTGGATTATCACCTTCAACTACCCATCGAAGCTTCGTATCAAAACGAGACCGATTGACAACATATACGTCGAATTGTTGTCGATCTTTATGGAGAAAAGATGACATGGCAGCATCTATTCCAACATCGTCCAGTACACCACGAGAATCACGAAAGCCTCTATCTAGGACCATGAAGTCATTCGCTTGGACCCAATTGAGAATATCTTCGCTGTTGTTAAGCACAACATGTTGCAGAGTTGAAGCGTCGTTATTATGAAAGTCCGAGTAGGATGGTCCGAAAATTGTGAGGATATACCCAGTTGTTGGTGTCATGGCTATGGGTTTAACCAACGACCGCTTCTTCTGTATACTGAATGTCTTGCGTTGAACCCGATTATTTCGAATTTTCTATTTTTTTCAAAAGAGAATGTTACATTTAAAATATTTTCTCTGCATCCTACTTGTATATATATATATAGGAATGTTTCATCGAATACAAATATGCACGAGTCTCGGCCTTCAGCTAGTAAATGGCTAGCGATCGGTGATGTATGTTTATCGATAACATCATCTTGTCGTGTTATGTGAGCTAAACCCAAATAACACCGTACGAAATGTTGAGCGAGTGCCACTCTAACACTAGAGATGAACCGATCCATTTGCCGTTTGCTGTCTACACCTACAATTAAAGTCAAGACCGAATTGCTCAAGTTCAGTTTCAATTATATCAAGAGATATCATAAAGCAGATCGTACCGACTGGATCGTTGAATTCTTCATAGCACCTGAAGGCATGTGTGACAAGATCTGAGTATGCTGAGCGCGAGTAAATCCAGTTAGTTTGACGTAATCGGCACCTGTCAAGGGCATGCATTCGTCGAAATCAAGGTGCTTCTTACAGTTGAGTCGTGTACGATACGTTCGAAGGACGTTTATAAGACGTTGTGGAGAAAAAAGCCGATATTCCACTTTGTATGGCACCAGCGATAGAAATGCTTCAGGCAACAGACGTTTATCTTCAGTTTATTTCTCGCAGCATCGAGATCCTGAAGAAATTTCGATGTGGCGTTGGATGAACATTTCTTTGCGATCTTCTTCACGAATAGTTACCGTTGGAGGCATTATTTGCTCTTTGCACACACAACACTGACCACAAAACGAAAATTAGCCAATGATTTATATTTGAAAGAACTACTTTCTAGAAAAGATTGCAATTTCAATTGGAATTTCAACATTTTGTTGATTTAGGCTTTCATCCGAGCCCGTTGTGTCCATCTTTAAAGTAAAATTACGTAACGGTAAGATACATCGAAATGAACTTACTACTTTATTATCTTCAACCACTGTTCTTTCTTCATCTTCCACTTGATCATCATTGACTGTCGAATCATCGAAAGATTCATCCTCACTGGATGATTTATCTACCTTATTAACAATATTAGATCCGCCACTCATCAAATCCGTCTCAACTGATGCGTCATCCATAGGTTCATCACTGCTATTTTCTGCATCCATACACACTTCTGTTCCTCCATCTTCGTCGTTGGCCTTGCCAATAACCGCACTTGCTGTTTCATGATTATTGTCGATCGTTCTTAATATATTGCAAACATCTGGCAAAGCTATCCACTTACTATATATTATACGATACTTTGTACAAATATAGGCATCCGTCGACAGAAACGTTGGAAACAAACGGGCGGCAACGAAAAGTCGAATGCATTTTCCGATTTGAGGACGTCGGCTAGTATCAGTTACACGACCAGCACAACAAGCGCACACATAACACTTCTTCGAATTCATTTTATGTGAAATGAAATACGGATCGACGTAACCCACTCATTTTAGATTCTCTCCTCGCTATCTCTAAAATAAATCTTACAAATCCCTTTCTTTAACCAAAATTTCTTCTTCACATCTCTCTCTGTGAAACATATACGCTTCAAATCACTCTCCACCAAACATATTCTCTCTTATTCTCTCTTGTCATCTCATATCACGTCTCTAATTCTCTCACGCTATCTGTTTTCATGTATCTAAATCTCTCGTCACCCAACATATTTTCTCTGATTCTCCCTCGCTATATCGTATCCTCTCTCTCAAATTCTCATTATTCCATATCTTCTACATGTACCTATCTCTCCGTTTACTATCCTTCCTCTCAACCCCTAAAATCATTTTTCCATTCTTGCTTATCAACCTTCCTGGATAGATTGCTCCAGCCTCGGCTCCTTCCACATATAGGTGTTTGCAAAAAAACCTTGGAAACCTTCTTTTACCGATATCTTTATCTATACAAGTGCTCTTAGAATTGTTTTATAGTGCGGTACATGGTCCACGAAGAGTAGTATACAAGAGTATAATTTCATATTCTTTTCTTGGGCTTAGAAAAATATCGAAGAGGAAAGAAATAACACTTCTATATATACAACGTTTAGTATATCTGTCGAGGGTTTATCCCTCCAAAAATGACCTTTGTGGTTACTTGTAATAGTAGAGAAATAGGTTTTATAAAAAAATTTTTCCAAGTTTTTTTTTTGAAAAACCCGTATTTCATTAGTTTAGTTATCATAGTACATTCACATTGGCATGGATTAGGTTCTATGACTTCTGCCATGGCTGAAAATGCACCAGTAGAATAGCGAAAATCTTAAAATCATGACGATGTAACAACCCGTAGTGTATTTCAGAACTGAGATGATCCCAGATTCCGCTTTACTGGGCAGAAGAAAGAATGAACATCTCTCTGAGTTTCACATTTTCCCTTTTGTTGAATCTGGTTTCAACATTTTTTTTACCTTACTTCTAGATATTCGCATCAAAGGCGTACTTTTTTGATCACTTTCTTGTTTGGCTAATTTATTGTTTGCATTAATCAAGAGCATTTGGGAATCATGATTTGCACTACGTCATTTGAACCTATAGCAATAATTGGCATGTCTTGTGAATTCGCTGGTGGTATCCATACACCCATCGATTTTTGGCAGGCACTTGAGGAAAGTCGCGATATAGGCAGCGAAATACCCATCGAACGGACCGATCTCTTGTCGTATTGTGCTCACATGCTCAATCGAGATAATGGTGAATTCAAAAGAAAGCTCATGCGTTGCGGTTATTTTTTACCAACATCGGTGCTTGACACCTTTGATGCAGGTTACTTCAATCTCTCAGATGGAGAGGCAGTTACGATCGATCCGTGTCATCGTCTTCTCATGATGAAATTCGTTCATTTGATTGAGGATGCTGGCTACACTTTGGAAAAAATGCGTTGTTCGCGTACTTCGGTGTATATTGGTCAATCCTCAAATGATCATGTGTTGCGATCAGTTGGGCTCAAACCAGAATATCGACCACGTTTTCTCGGTACACACATACCACTTTACAATGCATCAGCTCGCTTGTCCTATCATTTCGATCTGCATGGACCTAATGTATCTCTGGATACTGCTTGTTCAACAGGACTTCAAGCTATTCATCTCGGCGTACAAGGATTGCGCACCGGTGAAGCAGACATGGCTGTTTGCGGCAGTGTTAATACTGTCATGACATCTGCTAATATGCTCAGCTCTTCAATGACAGGTGCTGTTGCTTCCGATGGTCGAAGTCGATCATTTAGTTTTGATGCCAGTGGTTATGCGAAAGGTATGGATAAGACTATTGCAAGATGACCAGAAACATTACATTTTTGGTTGAAACTGTCACCTAGGTTATTCCAGTGTAATGCTTAAGAGAGCGTCTCTATACGCATCGAGGATGGTGCAGCATATTGAGTGACACATAAAATGTTTGATTTTTGATTTTTTATGTGCATTCGATAGGTCATCATTCGAAACTAAAAACCCCAAATTTTCAGCTCATTTGAATGTACTATAGTAAAGTTAGGCTTGATTTACTTTTAAGCACTACTTACCTACTACTCAAAAAATAGTCATAAATTGTTCTATAAATGCCTACTAGGATTTTTTTTCTACAAGTCATGGAATTTTTTTATGTAATATAATAAATGATAGAGAATTAAAAGCTGAATAAAATGGGCTATTAAGAACATCCAATATCATCTTTCTAGTGGGTTTATTTAATCCAAAATGAGTAAAAACTACCACATTTTTTGAGTATGCGATGGGCGATTTTTAGCAGTATATCTGCTGCCATTTTTTTAAATCAAGCGGGCCCAAGCTGAATTTTACGTATGTTATACAACTTTTAATTCTCTACAAAATGATAAAAAGAATTTTGAAAAAAAAAGTTTCCCTTTGAGGCGATATAAAGCTTACAATATCAACTTTTTATGGTGGTCATTTGCAGTTTTATGATATAATTCATATAATATTAAACTGTTTAGCTTAGAAAATTTATCCTCAACTGGATGCCATCATATATATATGAAAAGTACACATCACCACCAACATTTAGATACACAATATGTAAGGTTAAATACCACAGTAATCAAGTCATATTGAACTATCAGGTGATAAGAAATCGCCTATGAGTTTATTCAGAAATCCAAACACTATTCAAAATATTGTTTTTTCACTTAATATCCTCATCTAAATCTATATCATCTGACACTTTTAAAACTCGATCTATATTGTT